TGGGGGGGGGGGGGGGGGGGGTAGAGGAACGAAAGAAGGGATGAACTGACCACTACGATGGTTAGGGTGAGGGACGTAGTCAAGCTCCTCCATCTCGTAGTCGTCAAGCAAGGCCATGTTTCTGTCTGGCTTCTCGCTCAACGACAGAATTGCTGATTCGTCGTCTTCGACGGCATCTTCCCTGTTCCACGAGCTCTCAATCCTTGCAGTTGCCATAGCTTGGGTAAAACCATCCTCCTCCCCCTCGTGTTCTTGTAATTGGTTTTCAGAAAACCAATCCTTTCGATTTCTGTTGGTAGGACTTACAGTACTTCCAGTAGCGGCCTGAAGTTGAAATTGAGCTTGCCGAAGTTGGTTTCGACGGAGAGGAGAATTCGCAGGGGTTTTGAAATGAGAATGATAGTACAGGAAAGGATTGGTTTCTCTCAAAGCTACAGGAGGCAAGTGTGTGTGTTGTAGAGCCAGCTCCATGAGGCTCGGGTTCTGAATATTACAGAGCTCTCACTGTTCCTGCCATTGCCCCCCTCTCTCTCTCTTGGTCCACTGCATTTTATCTTCTCTTCCGAATATAATACGATACCAATAACATACGAAACGACGACGTTCCAACATGTCGATAAGCACCGCACTGGACTTTGTTTGTAACATGATATATAATGGAATTCTTGTTGCCCAAAGTGCCAACTTCAAAATATGTAATCGCATAGTTAGCGTAAAAAATAATAAATAATAAATATATTTGTATTTATATTCAAAATTAAATTATAAATATAAATAAGAGATTTAGAAATTTAAGAGTGAGAGGTGGTGGGCTGCAGTGATGGTGGTAGGAGACAGTGATGACTGTGATGGATGGTAATAACTGTGGTGGCAGCGACAATGGTGGTAAAGGTAACAATGGGGGTAACGATGGTGACAATGGGGGTGACAGTGACAATGGCGATGGCGATGGCGATGGTGGGGGGGCGACAACGATAGTGATAGCGGTAATGGTGGCAGCGATGACGATGGTTGGGGTGGGGGTGATGGTGGTAGAGGTAGTGAAAGGGCAATTTCAAATATTATTTTTTAAAAAATATTTATGAGAAATAAGTTTTAAAAGTAATTTTAAAAAATTACTCAAAACACACATTTAAAAACCTATTTTCCTATTAAATTGAGAGTATTAATATTAACCGTTAGATTAACTTTAAAATAAAATTTAAAAAGATCTCAACCACGAATAGTTAAATTCATTTTGTTTTTCTTTTAAGATTTAAATTGTAAACTACTTTATTATATAGATATAAATGACAAACCGCATTAGATTGAAGTTGTTTCATTTAAAANGGGGCAATTTCAAACATTATTTTTTAAAAAATATTTATGAGAAATAAGTTTTAAAAGTAATTTTAAAAAATCACTCAAAACACACATTTAAAAACCTATTTTCCTATTAAATTGAGAATATTAATATTAACCGTTAGATTAACTTTAAAGTAAAATTTAAAACGATCTCAACCACGAATAGTTAAATTCATTTTGTTTTTCTTTTCAGATTTAAATTGTAAACTATTTTATTATATAGATATAAATGACAAACCGCATTAGATTGAAGTTGTTTCATTTAAAATTTAAGGTTCAATTTGACTTGACTTTCTATCACTCAAAAATTTGAAAATACCCACATAGCTCATGTTATTTTTTGAATAAATTGAAGAGCTAACTCCACTAACAGTGATATCAAAAAAAATTTTGAAAAAGACGTTCCTCGACGGGTAAATCCTTCAGATATAACTGCAGTTGAAAATGAGAATTCTATATGGAGTAAAATCCCTTTTAATACATTTTCTTTTCAATCCCTATTTAGACCGATCATCTACCATGCAGATACACGTGTCCATCACTTACACTTATTAATGGTAGATGATAAACCAATTGAAGAAAAAGAGTAACAGAAGGGATGTGAATCCGTTTCTACACACTACAGATACTTGCAATTCATCACTCCAACTGCCAGAATCTTTTATCACCAGTCAAAAGTAGTTAGACCAGCTCTTGTAAACCATGTAAACTAAATAACAACGTAATCATCAACCAGACAGACTTCATATCATGTTTATTTTCAAAGTTACCGGACTGTAAGTAATTGATCAAATGGACAGCCTACAGGCAGTGACAATGGCGTCCACGAGGCCCACAACTACCTGTGGCACCAAAAACCAACAAAAGAACCAGTTTTTGAAATTCAAAAGAATGTAATAAAACCTGAAGCTGACTCATACGAGCATATGAAAATAGGTGCCAATGAAAACTAGAGTGAAATATAGAATCTGCAAGCATTCGTCTTAGAAGAACTATTAATATATGCACTATCCCTTCTGTTCCCTGTGATGGCACCATGGCTCTATGGAGCACCAACAAATGACATTCTGTATACACTATTTATTGCACAGACTAATCCAGATTATGAGTTAAACACCTCATTTTGGATTGCCAGCTGAAAGGACAGGTACCATATTACTTTGCTGCCACTGTACATCCTGCAGAGCTAGAAAATGTCCCATAAAGATAACAGGCAATGTTGTTGTGGTATTCACAAGATGGCAAACTTAACCTCTCTTGAATTCTTATTTTTAACTTCTGACATGACCTGAAGTAATGAATTCAACCAGAAGCTCCCGACTTCGATGCATTGTCACCCTCAGGAGTATGGGATTGATTGGAGAAAGATGATGTTTTTCCAGATGGGAGGTAAGACCACGCTAAAGCAGCAGTCCCAAGTGTGATTGTAGTTGCAATCGACCCCCAAACCCATCTCTGCCTTCTTTTCCTTCTTTGCCTAAGACATCGTCCTGACTCTACAAAAGGCCCAAAAAAAAATAAGGAATGGATAAGTCTGTACACACAAAGAACGAGCACATAACATGCATGCATGCATGCACGCATCCATTCAACCACAAACAACATCCATGCATTCGCACAGCCACTCAAACACCACACAGAGAACCACAGGAGCATTTGTAATTCATGTCATAAATAGAATGCCTACTAGGTGGATATGTTCTTATTTTATAATAGTTTGCAAAAATAAGGCAAGTGTATCGGGTGTGTGGTTTCCACAAGCAGCGCATACAATGCTACCGCCGACACAAACACAAGCATACCCATTTAAGCTCGAAAATGTGCTGCTAAGGTGGTCAATTGATTTCAAAAAATCCAACAAAATCAGAGCTGTTCAAATTGTTAATTCCAACAGTGACCAATATTTAATTAAAGAATATAAGAGCATCACATCCAAAAAAAGGCTGGTTAATTTCTGAAATATCAGGAATGAGATTCGGTACCAAAAAATCTGGCAAGCAGTCAATGGAACGTGGATTCCTATAAATAGCCAGGTCAAACTGCAATCAACTCACTTGGTAGTGTCTTGTGAAAGCATTGAAATATTTTTTTTAATTATTCTGTTCACATCCAGAATAATAAAAGAAATTATAGAAGTCTATAACCTACAGTCATCTATCTATACATCCAGACACACAAATTGTTCAGGCCAATCATTTGCTATGATAGAAAAATAAAAGTTTAGAAGAAGCATAACGGAAAAAGTGCAAAAGTGGGAAATCGATACACCTAAGTTAATCCAAGCATAATGTGTAACTTAATACAATGGTAGCTACGCTGCTCAGAAGTATGACACCACAGGGACACAAAGGCAAGATTCTAACTTATAAGTATCCTAGAATAATAAATGCACTGGATATGAAAAAATTAATGTCTACATAATCCAATTCGTATTGAGAACCATAAATTGAAGATTCTTTTATATAAAAGAATTCCAATCAGATAATATTGTAAGAGAAATGGGCCCCTCACTATAAAAGTTATATGTTACAGAAAATCTCACCTACAGCTTCCTGGTTCCTCTGAGACATCTCCCGATTCACAGCCTCGTAATAATGCAGCCTGTCCCATAATCGAGCAATCTCAAAGTTCTTTGACTCTATCTGAGCTTCCATCTCCGTCTCAACCTCAGCCTTTGCAGTTCCTCTCCCAATACAATTTGACACAAACCGAGCAAGATGAACCTGTCTGGACAGCTCTTCTGCAGGATCATCTGACTGTTCATCGCCCATAACAGCAACAGAATCTGCAGGGAGGGTCAATCCCACAAGAGATAACTGTTCCCAGATCTTCAGCCACTGGTTTTGCATAGTACTCAGGGTTTCTTCTGCTTGCTTCCGCTTCTCTATCTCCATCAATAAACTCAATCTCATTTCACGTAACTCAGCTTCAATGTCATGCAGAGGAGGCTGTGGCCCACTTTCAGATGATAGTTCTATAGAAAGAAAGCAAGTAAGGCTACAAATATCATAATAGTGTAACAAAAATGAGATTGTTATGATACTAGTAGTTTAACACCCATGGAATGGTTCAGGAATATACCAATGCTTAGATTATTCAATTCTAACCAACCACGTTTAAAAAATAGAGGAAGTCTAAGCACTTCCAAATACCATAGACAAGAGATATAGTAAACACAGATATAAAAATTTGTTCCAAAAAAAAAAACACAGATAAAAAACATATAATAGCCAAGTACCTTCCCAAGCATCATAAAACTCAGACACTGGTGTAGCAAGATTCAAAGACCGTTCCACCCCACCATTTGTTTCACCCTCAGTATTATTGCTCGCTGTACTCAATGCCTCTTGAGGATCAAAAAAATCATCCTCCTGACCATCCCGTTCCATGTTAAATGTAACAAACTTCAATGAACGGTTTTCCCCAGCTAAACCATTACTCAACCCCTTGCTTGCACATCCTCCATCACAAACATCATTGACAGGCTCAACAGCACTATGAGCAGTGACCACAACATGATCATCTTTGACTGAATCAGCCACCTCCCCAAATGTACAAGTCTCATCAGTGGCAGAACCAGAAACCTCCCCTTCAGCATTTATTCCATTCTCAGCTAACTTTTCTTGTTCTAGAGCTCTTTGGCGTGCAGCAACATCATCCTCAGAGAAACTCTTGAGAAGGCGTGGACCACGCCGCTTGTGATTAATGATGTAAGGCGAAGGAGGGAATGAAGATGGAGAATCAGGAAGCGGGGTAGACTTGGGAGTGGCATAGAGTGCTGGCTGAGCCCAGAGGTGCCTCTTATCTATTGTCGTTGTTGTCGATGTCCCATTTATCCTCTCTGGCTTTGAAGGTGGAAGACTAATTCCCCTCTCCAGCTTCGAATTGGAATCAGGAATTCTTCTATCAAGCTTTGAATCCGACGTCCTGTTTCTCCTCTCCACCTTCGAATCAGGAACCTTTCTTATCGGTGTCATCGGTCTTGATGCTCCTGGTTCTAATAAACTATCCAATGCTAATGCAGTAAACGTGGGCATGACTCTGCAACATCAACCAATCTGCTCAATTTGTTAAAACTCAGTTGTGATCACCATGCACAAACACACGCAAGAACGCAATGGATGACAGACTAAGGAAAAGGTAAGGAGGAGTTATAGAATGGAAAAAAAATAAAATGCTCAATACTAGAATTTCCTTTTTTTTTTTGTTTCAAAGGGCAGGCGGACTAACTTACACGCAACTCGGCTAATCCGTAAACAGTCCGGTCAAAGCCAAGCCACAGGTATACCTCATGGCCTAAACCACATCTAAGTTTATAGCTCATCTTGCTACCACTTGAGGTACTCCTTGGTTTCAATAATAGAATTTCAACAGTATTTAACCCAATCAAACCGAAATTCAATTCCTATATTGGACAGATACATAGTTACCTATGCTAATTTATTTTCTCTTATGTACTCAAAAATCAATCGTAAGGTAAAACAGAGATTTCGAATTTTCATTTAGTTTGTTTTATTCACCTCGAAATTTTCTCAGCAACAAAAAAGGGTAAATTAAATGCAAGGGAAGGCTTAGTCCCATTGACACGTCAAATCAAAACCATTTAAACACTACAAGAAAAACCGAAATTCCTAGAGACTTCCCAAATACATACAATTACTGAAATTTTCTTACAGTGAGCTTCCATAAGATACATGATACGAATCCAAGGTTAAAAAAACCCCTACAATGACAAAATCACAACTGCAATCCAGGATTCAAATACAACCATTTCCCGTGAAAACGTTTCAACAATTCCATACACGAAAAACCAATTTATGTATGCCTAAGAAATACAACCAATCTATTTACCTTAGGATGAGAAGGAAGAAGACGGGTGTGTGAAACCCCAGGAGGGAAAGAGAAATTTGAGGTGTGGAGGGATCAGAGGTGAATCGAAGATGTGCGAAAAACAAATGTTATAGCGAGTGCGTAAGACCACTTTCCTTTTCTGATTCACGACTGGTTCTCCCCAACCTTTTGGGAAAAAGATTGAGCACAGGCTTTTATCGTAATTGCCAACTTTGTGTGACTCTCTCTCTTTCCCTCCTCGGTGGGAGCTTGCTGATCAATCCGCACCACCTTTGCACTGCGAAAATTCCAATATGGTTTTTCTATTATTAGGATTTTTGGACCGCCTTGGTTCTAGCTTCTTCCTTTGCATTTTTTTTTTCAATAGTAAAGGTTGTTTTAGCTTATAGTTTACGTTTATTTTAATTAATTATTTTTTTCGTTCTTAAATTTCTATCGCTTAAAATTTTTATACAGAAATTAAAAAAATTATTGAATAGCTGTAATATAAGTAAAAAATAATTATACAAGATTAAAATATATTTATTCAATACGTATTGGTAAGGAAAGAAATATGAAAGACACTTAACATCTACCTAATCTAATGCCTTGAAAAGTTAAAAGTAAATTTGGAAGAAAAAATATTAATTATACTTTTGTTTCATTAAACGATATATATTATGGAACAAAAAAAATTGTGTAAAACGACAGATAATTAGAAACGGAATAAATATTTTTTTAATTCGATCAAAAATGGATTATGTATAACGGAATTGGAAAATTTATGAAAATTAATTCTCTCTAGTCTAACTCCATTTCGAATTCAAGATGTGTAAGTTTACAGTTCGTCCATGTTATTATTTGAGCAATCTTTAAAATTGTTTTGACATATTGAACTTCACCTTATTTCTCTCGGTATAGTTACGTACATAAAAACATTATTTTTTAATGTCATATCTCTCTTTTTTATACTAGTATTTTTCAATGAATAGATAAAATTATTCAAATTAAATTTTACAATTGTAATTAATTTCGATATGGTACAGATGAGATAATATTGTAGCCATATCCTATTTCTTCTCTCGACATTATGCTTATAATAGGGAAAATGAATGAATTGATCCAATATCAGAGTATTCACAATTGCCATGAGTTTTAAATATGTTGGACCTTAACTCAATGGGTTTTTTTTTAACCCTCGGGGTGGTTAAGTGGTTGGGTTTGTTTTTTAGTAATTCAGATATCTTAAGTTTAATTCATTCTGGCACCTCTTAAAGATTAGTCACTCTTGTCCGTTTAGGGACATATTCTAAATTAGGTCAAATCACGGTAACCAATCGCTGAACTCGAGAAAGTAATCGATATAAATCTTGATATCCTATAACAAAAAAACTCAATGATCTTTTTGCCAAAGATTAGATTTTGAGTAGACGGTTCAAATTCAAATTTACATTTCAAGTGAAGCTTGAGTTTAGATTTTTTAATTTGATTTTTTTTTTGTTCAACGGTCAAAGGTATTCAGTTTAGTTTATGTACACTTTTACTAATTTTCTCCCCTCTCTTATTCGATCAAATGCAAATAATTTATGTCGGGACTAAAGAATTCATGAGAAATAAATTTCTTATAATTTAATTTTAAGAAATTACAAAGATTTGAATTTAGAATATTTAAATTTAGAGCTTGTGTTAGTTTATGTTTATATTTAAGAGAAGATTGACTTGTTGTCAGATATTCGAGCTTTGATTCATTTACTAAATTAAATTCAATTTGTTTAGTTTGAAGGAACTTGTACTCAATTTATATAGAATGGTTCATGATTACTTTAATTCATTTGTAAACTTCGACGGCCCCGGTCCAGAGCAAGTCCATATCAAGGATGCAGATTAATAAGGCTCAGTCACAATAGGTCAAATCCACTTTCTTGAAAGATTCGGTCCATTGTCAGCACACATGAGAATCTCTTTTCAAGAACAGGGAATCCATAAGGATTCTGAAGGACATATATCGTTACTCTTGTAAGATCAACTCGCCCGTTAGAAATAAGACGATTTTTAAGGAATCACTCCTGTTATCTCCTTGATCGTTACAAGGATAAGATGAGTTTTTCGAAATCATTTACGAGGATGATGCCTCAATCAAAACTCTTTGAAATCAACTTCACTTGCCTATAAATTATAAGTTCTGCCTACACATGAGACATAACACATTACATCTCTTAAAGAATAAAATTATCTGGCTACAGTCGTCACTCCCAGTAGAGTAGGTCATCCAAACTAAACCATTTAATCTTTGTTTTTACTTGTTTTGAACTCTCTTTACTTAATTCTTGATTGATTTTGCATAACCACTTTTGTGCATCATCAAACTCAATTTAATTTCCTTCTAGCTTTTCCATTTCTGGCAGATGAGAAAACTGAGTTTGAAGGGGCTTAAAAATCATAAGTGATTTTTTTTTTTTTGTTGTTGATCACAAATAAGTGATTATTGATACACAGATACACTGTCAAACTTATTAATGTCGGCTGAGTGAAGATTTTGAGTTTGAGTTGCTATATTTGTCTCTGTCTATCTGATCAATAGCCTTGACAATAGGGGCCGTGGCATGAAATTAGGAAGGGAAGACTGTTCAGCCTTTCATTCAGTGATGCCAATAGGTTTAGTTAGACCTAAATGTTCATTCTCTAATTACTCCCAATTATAACCAAATTTATTACAACACAGTTGCTATAAATACCTTAAAAACCGCTTTGGATGATGATAATCTTGACCGAAAATGAGATTCTTATTCTTAAATCCTAAATTACCATGTTTGGATAATCAATTATTCCATAATTTACCTCGGAATAAGATTATTGACGTTCTCAATAATTGTGAGTATCTAAACCCATGATCAATAGTGATAATTTTATTTCTATATTGATTGAGTATTCTATAAATTAAATAAAATTTTCAAAATGACACTCCTTTCTAAAATTATAGCTTCGTTTCAAAAATTAAGTTAGCCTCCTAAAATTAAGTTTTTTTCNATTTCAAAATGAAACTCCTTTCTAAAATTATAGCTTCGTTTCAAAAATTAAGTTTTTTTCCTTACAATTTGACAATGATATTAATTCCCACACTAGATTACTGACAATAACCGAATATTAAATATGAATTTATTACAATAATTGAAATTCGGGTATGCAAATTAAAATTATTGTCATCTAAATGTGGCCTAATGTATAAAGGTTGAGTGTAATTTTCAAACATATGAATAGGGCAAAAATATTGGATAATAAACCTTCGATGGTACTTTTTCAAAAAAAAATAAAATATAAGGGGTTTATCAGGACTATCAAATTGATAATTGCAATTCTTAGAAAGGTATGATACTGGAAATTCTTCCAATCTTATTCTTTCATTGTTTAAATAATAGATGATGGAATCTGTACCAGGTGACAATTCGATGGATCAGTCGTTAGTCTGTATTGACGGACTCGCACTAAACATTCAGTACTTATTAGAATCTTGGCAGACCATTTCCCAACCCCATCCCAGGTGGTGTTTGAATCAGTTTTAAACCATTGAGTATCTTTTTATCTTTCTATCTATTGTGCCCCTGGGTCACCTCGGTTTGGCAGGATTCTCCCTTAAAATAGTTATTGACAGGTATGGGATTACAAGAATGGAATCCTGGTTGATGCAACAGCTAGAAAAATTAGCTAGGGTTAGCGTATCTATGGTGATTTGTTTGAAGCACTTAAACGGACGAGAATTTTGTACACTGAATATGCTTTTTTACCATTAGTAACCGAAACCTAAGACGAGCATGCAAGATGGATTGATCATAGAATCAAACTCAAAAGAACTAATTGATTCTCTCAAGCAAGGACGAGACCACAAGCATAATAGAAATTGAATCAATACAAGAAAATATTTGGTACTATATATACAAAGCGACTATAGCTTTACGAAGAGGAGATGCAATCAGGAATATCATTTCTCAGACAATCAATTGGCTTGTTTGTTGCATCAGACTTGGGAATACTGTGTTTGTGTGTGTGTGTGTGTGTG